TCGGGCCACCAAATTTTAACTTTTGGAAATTTTGGTGGCCCGACATCAAGTTTTGGTGGCCCCGGGCCACCGGGCCACCGCTAGTGTCGAGCCTTGGATATAACACTAACCCCAACAGCTTGCCTTTAAGGCACGATTTGACATGCACCCATATTTTTTTAAATGGCACCCCTGCTCGAAAGAAAACACCACATGTTATTGGTAACTGTTTTCCAACAGGAATAACAATCCCATAACTGAATAAAAAAGTAATGGTATCAATGATTAGTTAAGTATTTTAAATTCTAATCACACTATGTACCCTAGCAACCATTCTTGCATTACAGAACCACCGATCACGTTAGTCCCATGAATTGACCATTTGTTTTGTCAGATCCACTGAACTCGGTCTAGCTGACCTGACCTTGCTGGGTAGCAGTGAGACTCAGACAATAATTGCTTGTTGCTAGTTGTGAACCATCCTGTGATAGGTTACACCGACAATTGACAATTTGAGGGTGATTTTGCACTTGTTTATGCAGATCAGGATCAAGTGATCAGATCAGATAGGTCTGTTAAAAATAAACAGGCCCTAAAAGTATAAGGAAGCTAAAGCAAACATGGTTGTATGCACATAGGCTTGTTGAAATTTCTATTGGCAAATCACACAAGTGTACTGGAATTGTAACTGAAACAGAAAGCTAGGGTTGAAGACGTTGTTTATGTCAAGTATATTTCCTTATAGACTGGTGCATTTCTACAGTTTTTATTTTATACCATGCTGCCAGCAATGGAAATGTTACCACATCATTGCAATACTGTGACGGAATAGTTGGTCATCCACCCAGATGACTTAGTATTGAAATGCGGTCATCTGGACCCTAACAACAGCCATGGACATATATATGGATGAGCGCCCTAATTCTAAACCTACATAAGTCACTTTTAGTGGGATTGCCTTTACAAAATCACGTTGTGGCATTTACTAACATGTATGACATTGATAAGTAAGTAAATGTAAATTCGTGTTCTAGCTGACCATGCAGAGCAAGATAATTCTCTCTAGTTAACAGTAAAACTGAAACGTTTCCTACTGCAACCTGCACTGTAATACTTTGGACTTTGATTCCTAATACTACTTGCATATAGTTTATTTAGGCTTACCTGGCATTCAGGTTAGTGTTGACAGATCGAATATAGTGTACCTATGTGTGCTATGGTGACACTAAGAGTAACCGCGTAACATCGTAAATATTAGTCGTCAAAGTCCAAGGGACTATATCGAAGACAGAAAGAGACAAAGTTGATAAAATAGACAGATCAACACTGCAGATCGCAGTAAAAAAAGCCTCAAGTTTGCAACTAACTAAATATGAAGGGAGAGAATTCCAATACAGAATGACAGAAACAAAGACCCTAAACTTAGAGGATTCCTTTGAAGATGGCATGTGTCGAAAGCAATGATCACGCTCAGATGATCTAGTGCAACGAACAGGCTTCATCAAACAAGAGGGAATGCCAATCTTCACCTGACCATAATAAATTTTACAAAAGGTTATTTATAAGTTCAGCATGGGGAAAGAGGGCACAAAGTGGAGGCCAATCAAGTTGAGCCCAAACAACATAAGAACTATCATGATAGTCATTGGAAAAATGTAGGCAAAACACATGGCAGCAGCTATTACATTTCGGGTGACGTCACGCGTGTACACAACAGGATTTCAAACGAAATTGCAAGTAGTGCTAAGACTTGTGAGGAATAAAATGCATAAATACATAGTGTAAAGTTGTGGAAAGTGTTCAAAAAGATAGGTGAGATGTCCACGTAGATAGATAAGTGTTAAAAAGCCCGATCATTTTGCGTTTTGTGAGCGATTTTTCGTGGGAACTTCAGGGAGCTGGTCCAGCTGCGAAATCTAGTTCAAGATGTTCTATAGCCCTGCGGCAGTCACTGTACGCGGGCTATAGTACTAGAGCTATGTCTGACACTGACACTGTAGGCCTGTACCGTAGTATTTGGACGCTCGCCCGAAACTGGACGCTCCTAAGTGCGCATGCGTGCATGCTCTTTTGTTTTTCTCTTGTTTTATTTTTGTTTGAATCTTGTTTTGCAGGGCCGTAGGAAATAGTAGCCATGCTCTTTTGTTTTCTTTTTGTTTCACCTTGTAACCTGACACACATAACAGTCTTACTAACTTACTACATTGCAAATTGTTTCAATCAAATGTTTCCATGAGTGACTGGGTTGGCCGCCATGTTTGTTTATTGTGACCGTTTTCGATGGGTTCGCGAACCTTCCACAGTAATGTAAATGGCTGTCAGAATCAGGAAACACCTACCGGCACTCTTCGTGACCTCATTCTTGCGCCGCAACGCTGCAACGTTTTTGCAATGTTCCAATGGCGAGGCTCGTACGGGAGTTGGAAAGCAGTGCGCCGCCTGCGCGCCGCCTATAGTCCATAGACTGGCACTCGCTCCCACCTCTCGGCTTAGCTTAGTCACTCGATGGGTAATCGAGGTGGGAGCGAGTCCCAGTCTATATAGCCCTGTATTCTGACAGCCATTTACATCACTGTGAAAGGTTCGCGAACGCAAGAATTTCGTCAGTCTTTGTGTGATTTCGCGTGACACAGCTCGGTTACGAACAGAGACATTATGTTTTTATAACAAGTAAACACTGTTCTTGACATACAAACAAAGATGGAAGCTGTTGGATGTGTTTTCGCGCTGTTAAAGTGTGAAATCAAGCGAGCGTCGATCGAATTTTGCGATCGCGCTTTCCTACCTGCTATATATATATTAGTGTAACTGTACAAGCGTGCAACAGGGGAAATGCTATCCCCCAGGCGTAGAGGGACAGTACCGCAATGTGGCAGCACTAGTGTTAGGATTAGGGTTAGGATCAGGGTTAGGGTTGCGGTTAGGGTTAAGGTTAGGGTTAGGGTTAGGGATATAAGGCCATGTCTAGTACGGAGGTATGACTGTGGAATCTTTCTGTGGAAGATTTGGACTTTGAAGTATATGTCAACTGTATCACGTGACTGTCCCTCCACGCCCGGGGGATAGCAACACCCGTGCAACAGTCGCGCCGCGAAAGCAATGCCAATGGCGCCGGCAGCGTATATGGTTGGACGTAGAATTTCGACGGAATTCACAGGAAACCGTCGGCAATAATACTAATAGGTGAAAGAGAGTATAGAAACATTAAGAATTTGGTAGTAAATAGATTTCGTATTTAGTTAGCATATTTTATTGAAACGCTTCAAGTGCCTGTGGCTGTGGCTGTGTGTACGCGTAGCGGCGTACGTAGTTGATGACAGTTAATGATTATAAAAAAACACTATTACCACACTTACCCAAATAAGGTAGACTTCGCAGTAAGTCGTGGCAAAACTCTAAATATTCGCTTCGTGGTTTGCATAGTTGTCTAAGTTGTTTCTTCGTTTTCAGAACAGACTCAGATAGAAAAGACCAGAGATAAACAAATCTGGTTCCAAGACTGGCTCGAAGTTTCGTTTACGACTATGAACAGCACCACCTATCGGTGAATACTATAGTGAATTTATTATTTCCCATTTGTTACGTATACCAGAGCATATAAATCAATTGATTTGATTGATATGCTCTGGTATTACCGTAGACTTCGAATATCTAAGAGATTCTTAAGATGCGTTTACACTGCCAACGTTGAGTTGGCGAATTGGCGAATTAGAACATGTTCTAACCTCCCAACTAGCTGCTATCGATCGGTTGGACCATAGGTTGGACGTGCAACTTTTGCGTTTACACTGACGATTGTCAGTTGGTACAATTCGGCAATTCGCCAACACAAAGTTGGCAGTGTAAACCCAGCTTTAGATCATGGTAATAGGTATTACCCAGATGTTTTAGAAAATGAAGCTAACGAACTCCCATACTAAAATCAGTGAAATCATGTTCCATTACAGTCGGAAAACGTTTCACTTTGACGACATACTAAGTATACCTATCTCGAAAAACACCTGCACAACTTCAACGAACACACGTCTAGCAAAATGTGGATTTTCTCAGTAAACAAAACGCAGTCTTGCTCTCCTTAAGCCTTACTATGCAAATTGCCTTCTTCCATGTGGTCATAGGCAATTGGGTATCCCATCTATATATCTTTATATCCATAAACATCAGTATCTCGACATATTACATATATATCAGGAGCTAATAATGACAAATTATTTGTTATTATTAGCTCCTGATATATATGTATGTATGTATAAGTGTTATACACGTGTATATATTTTTTCCTATATACCACAGCTATTTTTCCTTTTCCGTCTGCCCATAGACATTTCGCTATCACACGAGCATATATTAATATCAATATATTTAGAAACACACGTATATGTCTACACATAGGCCTACATGTAGACGCGTATGCATGGTTGGCCACAGGGGCGTGCTACAGAGGGGGGGGGAGGGGTCCAGCGGGATCCGGAACACCCCCCGCCCCTGCTGCGCCGCAAGAAAACCCCATCTAACAAGGGGTCTGAATTTCAAAATTTTAAAATCGCGCTGCTTTGCAAGTTTGCGGTTACGGTGTAGACCCCCCCCCCCCCTGTAGCAAATCCTGTACAGCTGCACTTGGGCCATCGTATTCAGAAATAATTATTTTTACCACACACGCGCGCGCGCACATACGCACACACGCACACACAGCCGCGCGCGCACACACACACACGCACACACACACACACGCGCGCGCGCGCACACACACGCACACACACACACACACACACACACGCGCGCGCGCACACATTACGTGAGAGCCAATTTTCGTTTCGTATCGCGAGTAACGTCGTCATAAGTACAAATTACGTATATGCGCATACGTAATGCGTATTATCAGGAGGAGGATCTCTATTATTCACTCCTGGTATTATTTAATGCGTAATACGCATGCGAATGCGAATGCGTACAAGTATATGCCTATAATGCGTGGTATGCGCTATCCAAAGACCGGCAGAAGCAAAGAGCTAATGTCTTAGGAGAGATGTTCAAGGTTCATATTTTTCTCCAGGAAGCGGCTGCTCAAAAGTTAGTTAAAATCTATTGTATAATAATAGTAGTAGCTAGGGGCCTACCGCAAATATACGAACAATTTATGTGCGGTGAATCGCTCGCGTGGTGGCCGATGTTGTAGAGTTGTACTCTACACTCTTGTGTGTACTTATATATTCGAGCCCAAGGATCACGAAAGCACACTCGTTGTTATTTGGGCCACTAGGCACTAGTAATATCACGCACGCACACCCACCGACATATGCGCGCGCCTACGCACGCACTACACGCACGTTCATGTGTATAATAGGGGCATACACGCATAGAGTAAATCATTGGCACAAAATATTTTAATATAAAAACGGCCAACCAGATCGTAACCCGCCATATATGCTATTCCTTCAGTACATGCCTATTTCAATGGCAGTACATGGCGAGGTATGCACGCACGCACGCACAAATACACACCCACATCTAGGCCGCCGTACACACCCACATCACGCCCACATCTACGCGCGCACTACTCGAAAAAACAATGTACCACGCTTGCGAATTCTGAAATCAGGATGAATCGCTTTTGTATAATAATTATTACTCAAGGTAAGATTAGAGCAAGAAGAAGGATCCCAGCTGGAAACATAAACCCTGGTCAGTAGACCAGGTATCCGGGAAGCCGATGGTAAAAGCGAATGGTTCCAATGACAGACGAAGGTGAAATTCATGGTACTGATACAGACGTCCATGGACGGCGGGCGACCAGTAATATATCGCCGATGACTACATGCCTACTCATCATGAGTACTGTCATGAGTACCGGTGCCCGTGGTCCATGATTGTAACAGAGAGCTGACACCTACAGCCATATCCCGCCCATCATACATGTGTAACGATGTAGAGAGGGGTGTGGATCATGAGACACGTTGGAGTAGGTAGAGCGTGAGCGAGTTACAGTCGGATATGTAAACACCGATGCTGACGCTAATTTTTGCATCGTGTTGTTCATAGTCTGTTTTGAGTTAATAAACGCAGTGAAGCTGCACGCCATCGTATCTTCTTATCTATATTGTGTTACGTATTATAACATTTATAGTGAAATGATAGTACCACTATTGATAGTACAAGACACTATTCACATTTTTACAGTGAATAATAAGAGACTAAGAGTGATAAAACACGGAAATTGATAAGACGCGTGTCCTATATTTGACTACATTATGGTTCAAGCAGAACCGAACAGAAGATTGGAGTTATCCCGCATATTTCACGAGCGTAATATCACAGCAGTGGCGATTTTTACATAATCTTTCCATCACGCCTACTAAAAATCGTCCGCAGACTACATTATCGAGTAATGATAAATTTAGTTAAAATTATAACAAAGACACAATAATACTTATTTGTTATTTTTTAATACCATTTCCCAATAAAAATTTGTTAGGTTAAGCACAACCCACCTGAACACCGAGCACCCATGTCAAATATGTGGCACAGGCCGGTAGTTTGGGAGTTATGAGCCACACAGACATTTCGGTTATGCCCCAGTCACACATACACGACGCACGACCCGCGCACTGAAAATTAATCAAAAAATGGAAAATAGATCAGTGCGTCGTTGTGCGCCCAACTTTTGTCAGGATTTGGGAGAAGCTAGCGAGTTGACAACGAATGCACAGCGTGTTGCTAGCGCGCTGCGCGTATACAGGGCGCACATGTTAAAAAATCCAACGAATGCACAGCGTGTTGCTAGCGCACGGAACGAATGGTCCGCGCATGCACCGCGCATTCAACGCACAGCCAGCGCACAGTCAGCGCACAGGTCAGCGAACGAACAGGTCACGTGACTGTGACTATAAAAAGCGGCGGCTCGTCTTGCTTTCCTTCATATCAAAGTAGTGACGAGTGCACAACTTCAATATGCCACCAAAGAGAAGGAACCCGACGTCCCCGAACCCCAAGAAGAAGACTCCTATTGCTCCTGTTGCTGGTGTCCGCGGTCGTGGTCGTGGTCGTGGTCGTGGAGGCAGAGGCAGAGGGAAAGAGCTGCCCAGCCTGGACCCTGCTGCTGTCGTCGAAGATGCTGTCGAGGATGCTACACGCTATCTATCCTCATCCCATCAGGGCTCCCCTACTCACTCACGCTCTGGGTCATTAGACAGTCATGCATCGCTGGCATCGCAGGCATCTACTCTGGCCAAGGGCAAGAAGAAGGACAAGAAGGGCCACAAGCTGTCCGATGAGGAGGAGGAGTTGATGGTCGCCTACTTGGAGGCAAACGAAATGCTGTGGAACAAGAAGGCAACGCACTACAGAAAACCTGACATGAAGAACGCTGCATGGCAGAAGCAGGCAGAAGCCATGTCGAAGGAAGTCTCTCACCTGCAAGGGTGGTTCAAGGGCATGAGAGACAACTTTGCGCGCCTGGACAAGCTGCCCAAGTCCGGGTCCGGGCAACGGATCTTCACAGAGAGGGAGCTATGGACCCGGAAGGAGTTGCACTTCCTCCAAAAGATCACCTACCACAGACCAGAGCCAGTTAGCAGTGTAAGTACAGCTACATATTGTTAGACTATTGATACTTTTTATGTAAACATGTATCTTTACTATCAAAGGGTCCAATGTATCTAAAAAAATCAATTTGCAATCATTTTTGCATTCTTTTAACTTATTATTTTTATTATTTTGTACTTGCAGGTGAAGGATGCGATCCAAGCACACAGTGGTGATCTCTCGGCTGCTGAGGCTGAGTGCGCCAGGATCGGCGTAGAGGCGGACGCAGAGGAGGAAGAGCCTCAGCAAGCCTCAGCAGTCAGCGGAAGGAGCAAGGGAAAGGGTAAGCTGTCGGAGGACGCTGTCATGGCCACCTTGCAGAAGCAGCTGCAGGAAACTGGCCAGCAGGTGCTCCAGTTGCAGCAGAAGATGCAGCCCCAGTCTACGGCGGAGGTCTTCGGGACTTACGTCAAGGGGACACTGGTGAACTTGTCAGAACGGAAGTTCAAGAAGGCGCGCACGAACATCAGCCGGATTCTGGAAGCTGCCATGGAAGATAGCGATGAGGAAGAGCCTCCACAAGTCGCGTCGCCATCCTTCTGGCAAGGAGGACACCCCTGATCCAGCTCTGCACCCACCTTCTCGTCCTCTCCCAAGTACGTCGAGCGGTGGCAGCCAGCCCAGGACTGCGGCTACATAGAGAGGTACCAAGCCAGCATGGCCAACCAGATGCCGCCTCCTCCTCCGGGTCCACCACAGTTCCCCCAGCAGCAATAGCAGTACCCCCAGCAGCAACAGCAGTACCTCCAACAGCAGCAGCAGCAGAAGAGCGTGTGCACAGCCATCAGCGATGCTCACCAGGTGCTCAACACCAGCTTGGACACAGGTGCGGTGAGTGCCAGTGCTGGAGGCTGTGAGCGTGGCCTTGCAGATATGTCTCTGCCTCACATCTCTGGCATCTCTGGCATATCTTCGCTGTTGGAGACATCTCGGGACTCGTGAGTAGCTCAAATGCTACAGAAGAATACACATGGATAGTGCTGATTATTGAATGTTATGAATAAATTTTTTATTTTAACTTTAAAACAATGTGTTTTGTGTTTGCTCATTTTACATGTAATATTTTAATAATAATATTTATTGATTTATATTGCGCACGTTGCATGCAGATATGTTCACGTGCGCATTACAAAGACTGATTATAAAACAGCGGACTGCAACACTGTAAAATAAAGATGCTTAAATTACGACAATCCTATAACAATTCCTGATTATAAATAGTGGACTGCAACATTGTAAAATATAGATCCTAAAAACCACAATAATATAACATTTTCAATAAAATAGAACTCAAATCAAATGTACACCTAAAAATATAATGTCTATGTGTTAAATGCAATGTTAAATAGATGAGTTTTGACTAGGCGTTTAAAAGATTCCAGCTACTTTTCACATCGAATATGACTAGGTAGCTTATTCCATAATTTTGGGGCAGCTGATGAGAAAGCTCGATCGCCAAGTGTAGCCAACGTTTTTACAGCTGGTGGCTCAATTAACATTTGGTTACCAGAGCGTAGACTGTACCGATTATGTCTCTTTAATGTGACTAATTCCCTGATATAATCTGGTGACATACAATGTAATGCCTTAAAAGTGATGAGTAGTATTTTAAACTCTATACGGAAATAGACTGGCAGCCATGTATATCCATGTATGATGTATATGGATTGTGTAGTATTGTACCCCCGGCGGGGGGGGGGTCTAGATAATCCTGTCATGTTGTGAGTTGTGAGTTGTGAGACAGGGACTCGTGAGTAGCTCAAATGCTACAGAAGAATACACAAGAATATTGTTGATTATTGAATGTAATAAAGTTTTTATTTTAACTTTAAAACAATGTGTTATGTGTTTTATCTATATCATCCTGTCTTGCCATGGAACCGGCTTCGGAGTTGGCCCAGTGCTTGATGAGGTTCCTCTGCTTCTTTCCTTCCTTGTTGGAGGTGTTGCTGCCAGTGACTACGCGGGTGTCCTGCAGGTTAATGCCAGTTCTCCACGCTCCTGGGACGTAGTCACGACCCATGTTCTCGGCACGGTCAAGCTGCTGGTTCTGCATTCCTGGATACCGGGTCCTCATCAGGTTGTGGAGGATCATGCATGCTGTAACAATGAGCTTGACGGTCTCGGGCTGCTGCTGCATCGTGCTCAGGAGAACTTGGAAACGGTTGGCCAGGATGCCGAAGTCATTTTCTACGACCCTCCTGGCTCGGGAAAGCCGGTAGTTCAAGATGCGATCTGGCCGCGTCATACCCCGGAGGCTGTACGGCTTCATCATGTTGGGTCGTAGGGCGAAGGCATCGTTGCCGACAAAGAAGTAGGGCACATCCTGGTTGTCGTTGGGAAGAGGATTGGGATCAGGGAAGCCTAGACTACCATCTTCAACGCATTCCTTCAGCTCAGAGGCATTGTATATCTGAGCGTCTGATGCTGATCCCATACCGCCGATGTCTGCCCAGATGAACTTGTAATCAGCATCCACGAGCGCCATGAGGACAACGGAGAAGAACCCTTTGTAGTTGTAGTATAGGGAACCACTGTTTGGAGGACACTTGCAGTTGACGTGCTTGCCATCAAGTGCACCACAGGTATGGGGGAAGTTCCACCTCTCCATGAACTTGTCAGATATGGCACGCCATTCCTCAGTAGTGGTGGGACAATTCATCACCTCATCCTTGTACTCATCGATGATGTCCTGGCACACTTCTGGGATGAGCAGGGATATGGTGTTGTGAGGCACCCTCCACCCATAGGACATTGAGTGATATTTGGTCCCAGAGGCAAGATGCCGCAGAGTGAGGGCAAGCTTCAGGCCAGGGTCGAGGGCCTCTCTGTAGGTTGTATTCTGCTTGGTGATCCTCGGACCCACTCTGGTTAGCAGCTCGTCGAACATCTCGGGGGGCATACGCATGAAGTTCTTGAAGGCTGCCTGGTCTTCGTTACGGAGTTCAACAAGTAGCTGGTCATACAGGCCAAACTGTCGTCGCCTACCGATCCACGGTCGGACCCAGAACCTCCGTTGACCTCTTCTCTTTCTCCTTTTCCTGATGACATGAACTTGGTGAAGTGCCAGTTCCGTGAGGTTCTGCTGATGTTGGAGAATCGCGATTTCGTATTGTAGTCGCAGCCTGAAGGGATCCTCCATCTTCTGAGGTGGTTCTTCTAGACACGATCAGCAGGAATCTCTGTCATCACCCATGAGGGTCGGAGGAGAAGTGATGATGGTGAGGTGGGCGGTACCCGTTTATATACCCTATGGCTACACGCTGCGTACACGCTAGGAACACGCTAGGAGAACGCTGGGCGCGCTACAGACTTGTTCCGCACTCGTTCAGCACGCCCATATTAGCTGCATGTTCGCTGGACATGCGTTAGAAGCACGCTAGGTGTGCGCTAGGTGTTCGCTACACCTCAGCCGACGAACATACAACGAATACCCATCGTGTGCTCCGCGTGGGTCTGGCGTTGGTCCAGCGCGCTCTGCGCGTGTCTGGCGTCCTTCTGGCGTGTACATTCATGCGTCGAGTTCCGCGCACAATTTTGTGCATGCACAAAAATCCCGACGCACACGACGCGCACGAGCGAATGACAACGAATGCATAGCGTTGGTCCAGCGCGCTCGACGAACGAGTAACGAATGCTGACGCACACCCAGCGAACGGCAACGCACTGGCCAAAATTGCTAATTTTTCAGTGCGCGGGCCGTGCGTCGTGTATGTGTGGCTGGGCCTTTATATCTGCGGCCTGTTGAATAGAAACCTTACTTGGCACCGACTAAACACTTATTTCAGACATTCGTGATGTTTATTACCCTTTCTGTATTTAAGTCACGCGATGAATACAGCAAATAGAATGAACTCAAAAGAACACTGTTTATTAAACTTTATTTCATTTGACAGTTCCAGTTGGAATGTAAAATAGGACAGCTTTCGTATACAAAGTAAGTGTGTAACGCTTGCTACTACATGTGAAGCTTATGAATATAAGTCTATAAAACAAGTGTATCGAAATTAAATTCTACAGACACTTCCATTATTTTAAAGTGGTTTTCTTGCGAAAGAAGTGCTCTTAAAATCTGAATCATGATTACTACAATCGCAAAGGCTTGCATACTTACGTTTACGTACTAATTATGTGTAATGTTCAGCAGCTTTGATTCTGTCTTTGTTCTTTGTTAGTACAGTATACTATGTGTACTCGGAAACGTATGAAATGGTTAATAAATAGCTGGGAATCCGTTCTCAAAACTTTCTACAAAAGCTTTAAATTACATTAAATATTCTGGAGCATCTAAACTTTCACATACTTACATATGGGTGGGTGGGCGGGTGGGGGGCAACATTTTATATAAATACAATAAGAAATATTCCACATTCACACAGCCCTTTGTATAAAACAACAAATTCCGTATAGTTGGGTGGCTTAGCCACATTTGTACACATACCTAAATACTAATTCACGAATAAAGTATCGTAAAACAGTTGCTATTAACTTACCCATGACCATGAAAATGCTGTTCAACCAGTAGCCTCACTTATATACATCGACGTGCTTAGAAGCACAAGTTCAAATTTATAATTATCAACGGTGTCACACCGCATATGCACACAGTAAGGTGCCTAGTCGCACCTGTATGTTGAAAACCTGTAATGTTAATTTATAGTAATATTTCAATACAATTTACAGATAAGAGGATTTTGTGTATATGCACGTTCGCGCGTGCGCGTCTGTCTGTCTCTCTCGCTCACTATCTCTCCGTGCGTGCGTGCGTGCATGCATGTATGTATGTATGTATCTATGTATGTATGTACGTACATACGTATGTATTTATGCATATATATATATATATATATATATATATATATATATATATATATATATATATATATATATATATATACACGCACATACATGCATAGCAGATTTACCGAGGGGAGCCACTGTGCAGTGAACACGCACAGTCTAGCTGCTCCATGTACTCTGCTATAATACACTATGTGCGGATGCAAGAAAATCGTGCGCAAATGCACACCACCCTGGCGGTATACTCTACTATTGATAACCTAGGCACGGAGCTAATCTAGCCAACCCGCTAACACTGCAAACCCCTCAATACCACCACGTCCACGACTATCGGCGACGAGCGAATACTGCGCACATAAATAAGCCCTTTTATTTCTAGCTCCATGTAATAATGCACCCATAGTAACTGGCTAGTAACGTGATCAGTCATGCTCTTGCTTGCTTCGCAGTGAATGTCTAGTACTGGCCACGTGAAAGCAATAATTACTGGCCGGTGAATGATTAAAAAAGCAGTACTTATATAAGGTATGCGGCCACAGCCATATCTCATCCATGAATCTGAGTATCAGCATGTGATATTTGCTTCGAAAATGACTAACTCTCCTATCACCTTACTGGTGCTCGGCATCACAGCACACACACGAGATAAACATAAAATGCGCTGCACGACAACCAATGAACAGGAAGGGATCCACAAACAGACATGCACCACTTACATTTGATCCACTATCTGTAAACTATTTTCAACGCCAACACATTTGATCTTTCCCCCCTGCAATAACGTTTTAAATAGAACAATAATACTTCACAACCTGTCTCCTGGGGCAGAGCTGCCCGATTATAAGATATAATAATTGCAAAATTGGCTCTGAAATATCTTAAAATTTGATTAAAAAATCTTGTACTCAATAATCCTCGGTCTGGCAACCTTGTTTCTAGGTTATCAACAACAGTCAAGAGCAAGCCATTCACTGTCACGCCTTCTTACACGAATATACAAAAGACTTTTAGGAAACACTTTTTGCAAAGCCATTTGGTAGACAACACTACTCATAAATAGTTGCCGTTCAGCCACCAGCCAGTTGACACCAAAACAATTACACATGAACATGACACAAAAGGGGAGAAACTTGACAATTACTGTCATATGATATATATGTCATATGTCTCCACACTCACACACGCATGCATGCACGCGCAAACACATACGCACGAGCGCGCACACACAGGCACACACACACATACGTACACACACAGACACACGCACACACATACTCTATGACTTACCACAATAAAAATAGCTGTACAATATAGCTGTGCAACAAAGATAAACAGGCCATGCGCGTAAACGTGACCACTAGTAGCTGTATACAGCACTAGCTGCCCGTTTGTGAGGCCAATATCAGAACAGAGATCTGTATTCGCCCGCCTGTAGTTTCCCTTGTATGCAGAGCCCCCTAGGGGCAATCGCCAGGTCTTCTTACACGGCACCCGCTTTTCTATTGCCTCGATTCGTGCCTGATCTGCATTCCATGGTGCAAAGACCCAGTCGGTAGCAGAGCCCTCTCTCCGTGGGACACGGTTTCCCGCTGGCGGAAATCTGGAGGTGTACTCTGGGGTTTTTCGTCTGCTTGGGCGAACGTGGACCATGTGATCGACTGACGATGCCGAGCATGTCTCTTGTTTTGCCCCACGCAGCGAGGAGCAGAGCGAGCGTCGAGCCCAGCGACAGATGCAATCAGTCGGATCACCGGAGCAGTTTCATCGTCTTTTTCAGGTTGTCAAGAGCTGCCTGTCGACATGCTCTATCCTCATCTATCTTCTGCTTCGTGTGCCTCAGAGCCTACAAAGAGTAATAGTTAGTACTATATTAAATGAACTTTTCTGCTTTCACAAAATAAGGACAAACCAAGCTAGTACAATAATTACTTCAGCAGATATATCAATAGCAATACTCATCTTGTGATTATATGAAAACGAAGCAAAAGTTAAAAAATCAAAATTATTTTTGTTTCAGTAAAAAATAAATGGTCTTCATATAAATGTTAAAGTTTAATAGACACCTCAGAAAATACACACTTGGTATATTACGTAAAAGCTAAACGAGTAAACGTAGAAATAGGATCATTCTGTTGTATTACTGATGCCATCATGTGGATTCTGTTAGATAACATCAATACATAAGCCAGCTGTTATTCACCTTAAATAAAGTTCAGAACTTATTATACCGAATTATTACTGCATTATGAAAGAGGGAATTTCAGTTCTGTAAACTATAACTCTTATGGACTTGCTATGATGCCCGTGTGTGTATCTTGCACTTACTGACAGCTGCAGTGTGAGTTTTTCTGTAGTGTCAGCCAGCTCCGCATTATTCCCACGCACTTTCAGGCAATGATCCAACAGGAATGCTCTCTCTTGGTTTTGCTCTGCAATTGCACAACACATACAGTCATGATATTGTAAATGCAATTTTCGAAAATAATTTTAAACACTCAGCAGAACTAGTTGATCACACGCTCTATGTGTTTGCACTGGTGGGCAAATTAATTAAATTACAAAACACTTAATTAATAAACAAACAGTACAATTACACACGAGAGAGAATATATATATATATATATATTAGGAAAGCCAACATTTCTGAGTGGCAATGGCTTGTGCAGCGCTCTTACCCTCCATGTGCCGTCGGTATGCTTCCATCACTGACTCTACTCCTGGCCATCTGAAACTTGCGGTACCTGCTGACGGTGTGACAGATATCTCCCTGCCCGCCAGCTCTCTTCCATCTTCCCAACTGAACGCTGCATCGTCACCCACTTGTTCCTCTTTACCCTGGGGCATGTAACCCCTCAGCTCTTCTCTACCCATTGTTGCCTGACTATCGGACTGTGGTATAATGGTCTGCCTGGGTCTAGCACTAGAGACCAAAGACGTATATTGGGCCGCAGGTATCTTCACTGGAATTTCCGTGTTGGGTCTGAATAAAACAGAAGTAATGTTTCTTAAAGAAAAATTCACTAGTGAGATCAAATGAAACTAGAATATATTAATCAGAGGAAAATACAAATATTGTCTAATGAGACCTACATCAGCTCAATCATATTATCAAGAGCATATAAAGAAGGAGAGCGTACAACGGTAAAATGCTGAAACCATGTTGCAGTACTAGTCGAATTAATAAACTTTCCCCGTTTTATTTTGACGATTCTTTGAGTATTATTCGATTCAGTCTTATTGATCAGCTGTCCTACCTTGTTCATATAAAACAAACCGCATGTCCCTACGATGCCCCTACGCTGAGATAATGAGCGGTGAAAATCTGGTATTTTCGCCGAACACCGACTAGACAGAGTGCGACCCACTCTCGAAGTGTGGCCAGTGTGTTGCTTCCGGTCGCCGCTGTGTAGCGCTGACTCGATAAGTTATTACTACAGCGTTACTACATCCAGCGTAAGGGGCGGGTCATCACCATGGAGATAAATAACGACGTTTTTGTGGAGTAATGGCTGCGTCAATGACTGGAAATGCGAGAAAAGATAGTAGAAGGAAAATGAATTTCATTGTCAATGAATGACGGAAACACGCGAGGTTTCCCGAAGCCAGGTATCGCCAGAACGCGAGTCGGTTGCAGTACTGACTAATATCTAGTCAGTGTTCGGCGAAAATACCAGATTTTCACCGCTCATTATCTCAGCGTAGGGGCATCGTAGGGACATGCAGTTTGTTTTATATGAACAAGGTAGGACCACTGATCAATAATACTGCAAAGAATTGTCAAAATAAAACGGGGAAAGTTTATTAATTCGACTAATACTGTAACATGGTTTCAGCATTTTACCGTTGTACGCTCTCTTTCTTTATAATTATATGCTCCTGATATTATGCTTGAACAAATGTATAACCGTACAACAGCCTGGACGCATTTACCAGGAAATCAATCCACTACGCCACGATTCTCAGAATACCATGCTACGTTGGATTAGCCTTGGTGGTGGATGAACTCGAGTGGTTTCTTATCGAAAGTAATTAGACGAAGTTACTGCTTAGCAAATTTTTTAAGTATCTGTTTTAAAGGCTGTAAACTTGGTAATTATATAGCAGTCCACAAGTGGCCAGCCATTCTTTCTGGTCAAGAACATATGACCAGAATACATACCTTAATACCTGCCCATTTCATAAGGTTAAAAAAAGTTACCATGGCACTTCCTGTATTAATATAAAGCACTTCGAGAATTTCAGGTACGATCATACATACTTCTTCTTGGCAGGTAGAAGATGTAAATGCTGGTGTCTGTGGTGGTGATGGTGGTGGTGATGATGACCTTTATGAGCCAGGGCAGGCTTCTCCTCTGTGGCTCTATGTGACGTCTGCACCGTGTCTCCCCCATTGCTGCCCCCTCCTGCCAGGAAACTCTTGTGGCTTGATGCTATAAATATGTACCAGGTTAGTGTAAACGTTAATCACGTGTTGTGTGTAATGCGATGAAAATCCAGAGTTAGATTCCAAAAAGTTGATGTTCATAGACATAAAGCATATTGAGAGCACAGACCATCGGTATAATCCATGGGTGAACAAAATAAGGGATTTTAGTAGACAAAAAGCCAAGATGGTTCGAATAGTCAAACTCGACAGTAATCCAGTACAGGAGCTCTGTAATTCGTGTAAATGACTCAAGAAGAGGCACTGCTCAATAGACTTGCCTTGTTTCTGAGCAAGAGCCTGTTTAGTGGACTGCAACACTGACTCGTGAAACTCATGAGCAAAGTCCTGACTAAGCCGGTGCTGCCCTCTAAGGTCAGAACCAGGCGAAGTCCATAACTGCCGAGACTCGGTCCCGGCCGGTCGGCAATACTGCTGCGGTTGTGACTGCGGCGGCAGGCTGTGGGACTTTTGGACTTCAACAGAGGACACATGCTGCCGCTTGGCATTTAGATGTCCATGGCCATGAGTGCCTGGCTCGTCCGGAGCATCGCGCTTAAGGGATGCTACCTGTTGAGAGTCTGGTCCTGTGAAATAACACGTGCAGCTATAGATAGCCTAGCCCAGACGAGAGCAGAGCCAATGTACGATTTTCAGCGATTTCAGTTTGGAATGTGATAAAAACCCAAGGTATAATCTTGGCTGAACACAGCGCGATTTCTGATGAACTGAATTTGTCAAAATTTCTGAGTCATGGTTGTTTTGATTGTGAACGTTCTGGTTCACAAGAAATAAATAATAATAAATGAAAGGTGAAGCAGAAGAGATGCAAAGCCTATATTTGTTGGGATGCACTGGGTGGGGTGTGATTACCACTCAGGTTTTATATTTCAGGATTTTGCGTATTTTATAGTCCCAAAATTGATTATGCCTTTTAGCGTTGTTAGTTTTATGGCAAGAGCAAAAAACCCTTATCAACCATTTAAATCCATAAAATTTTATCCTCCAGCCAGAACCTTTATCGTGGGACACACGATTTTGACTGCTTTTCTTCAAGTCAATACTACACTCCAACTGATCACTTGTTTATCATTAGTATAATAACATAATTATGAGATGTATCATATATATTGACATGACTACGATGACGGTAACATGAACAGCAACAACTTGACACAATGTGTCTATCTAAGTTTACCAGTCTGCCGTTGAGTGCCGCCCGTCATTGAACTAGATAAGGTGGCGGCTGCTGCCTTAATCCCCAGTCGCTTTGCTGCCCTTTGCTGCTGGTTCTCCATGAGAGTTCGTCGCACATGCTCCATTTCTGCAGAAAGCAGCCAAAACTCGATCATATTACCACCAATAACCGTCAGGTATCTGATGAGATGATCAATACTACTACTAATTTATCAGTTCTCTTTAAACGTTACACGTTTTCTCTGATAAAAGAAGTTCTCATAAATCTTATTACTATTTTATCAGCATGTACGTAATCATAATGTAAACTTCTCTAGTATGATTTGTTATGTGTGGCATATTGTTGCTTAGCAACAAGCTATGTAAGTAGATCACGTGTACAGTCCAGAAAGTTTGAGAGAGTTTGCAAGGCTGTTTATAAAAGCTCTCGAACATCGAGCATCGTTTAGAAGGTTCTGGAAAAAGATAGATTTGTAGAGTGTTCCAGCAGTATTACTGGTTACTATGTAAAGCCAGCATGCATAGTCGTGAGGGGAGACAGTGCATAATCATTAAGTAATAGAATATACATCCAGAGAGCTGCAATAAATGGAGATCTACTCAAAGCTACATGTCACATCAGCTTCCTCGGAACATTAGGAAAGGACAGGAATTCGAGTCAGCAACCTACACTGCACTCTAGGCCTGGCTACGATCAAGACTCATAAGAAGAATCCGATTTACAAACATTTTGCTGTCGTTAATCTTAGTCATTATTTGAACTGTTCCCGTATATGTACTATACATAGTAATATTCAACCCATTGTTAATTAAAGTTGTCGAGTCGAAACAAACTTTCTGTGTTAGATGTATTATCTGTTGGTTTTACGCCGGGACTGGTTATTTCTGACCGTAACAGATTGCATAAAGAATTTTATTAAAATAACCAGCTTTTTTTTAAATGATCATAATCTCATGTGCTGATCAGCAACAGGAAGATATGAGACCTATCACATCTCTACCGATCAAACACCTGCGATCTCACGCATCTCACATTACTACCCTACTTCAGTTATTGGGTTCTCATTTAACAAACAAAATATATTGACTTAATAAATAATTGTGTAGTGTTACACGAAATTATCATTCACGAAAGGATTCAATAAAACATTAACGACAGAGGACTAATGATAATGCCTGCTGCCACCTCTGTGCCATTACCACCCTCCATCTCACGTTATACAATGCTAACATGCTGACGGATGCTTGCGTTCAGCCTGAAGCTTCGTGACTCTACTTTGAGTAGCGGACGTGTCAGTGTTTGGTGGACACGCCTTAGGAGTCTATGCTGATCATTAAACGCGGTATGATGACACTCGCGACACGGATGTCCAATCGCCTGCGTGCTCTACGAACACTCACCCTTGCGACGCGGCAGCGTGACGATCTCTAGGGCCAGGCTGGAGAGGAACCTTGTCTTCTCCGTGTAGTCTCGCTCGCGATTCAGGTCGTCCGGGTGGTAGCGCGTGTAGAGCATGGGCGACGTTGCCGGTGGCGCCACCTGCACGTCGTCGGGACTCGTGCTCTGCTCGCGGAACAGCCGCCGCCGCTTCCTCCGCTTCGTCGTCTCCATCTCGTCCTTATCAGCCTGCGTGCCGAGCCCCAGGTTACTCAAGAAGCTCACCTTCTGCAAGTTCACGGAGTGAAATGGGTGCACTCGCAGCTCGCATTTCGACAACGGAAAACTCGCTTATTTTTTTTATATATCTGATTTCTTATGTTTTATGTTCACAATTTTTATTCATCTATAGACTGAAACCTTTTGAAGTTAAAACAGGAGAATTTGATAGAATAATTTCAAAGAACTGAATACTTGAACAATCCTGCAGAAAATACTAACTCTGCTAAATTATAGTTAAATAGTAATAGGATTACTGCATCTCTTTAAGAGAGCGTACAAGTCACAAACGAGCTAACAGTTCCTGGCTAGTGTTGCTGTGCAATAGAGTTGACTCATAGTCGTAATACAAGGATAAGGTTACTCTCGGTAAATATGTCTAGTCTTACTACAAGAAAGCTGGCACTCCTAGTCTCACTAAATAGAAGGGTTAACTCAAGAGGCTCAATATAAGGAAGAGGTCATTCCTACTCTCACTAGTCGAAAGGTCGCATTCCTAGTCACACGTTAAAAATGAGAAAAGTAATTACATTGCTAACAATTCACCACTAACATAGCATGAATTTGTTTCACCAACACCCTGGAAACTAACCCAATGGATCTAAACACAATAAAGCCTACCCAGCCATCCTGTTCAAATATAAATTCTACTGTAAAGGAAATCGGTTTTTTGCCCTACATTGTAGCAGGAACGTAACGTAAATACTGGTACGAATACGGGATAAAAAGGACATTCTTGGACTCATTATAAAAACGCCCTCTCTTAGTCTCACTACGAAGAAAGTTTGCGATTCTTGCTGGCAGTAATGTAGTGCGTGCGGATCAGTGCTTACTCTGGTTGAGCCGTCGTACTGCAGCGGCGGTCCGTGTGCGATCGTCAGCAGCCGCATCCTCTTCCGCTCCTCCTTCGCCTCCTCCTCGTCGCTCTCCTCCCCGTCGCTGCGATACATCGACTTCATGCGCGCCTCCTTGATGCGCTCAATCTCGTAATCCAGCTTGCTCTTCTCGGGCCTGCTAGCGATGACGCCGCGCGCGCCGCCACGGCCGCCGCCGCTCGTCTGCAGCGAAGCCGGCTGCTCAAGCTTCTCCGGCGACGGCTTGCGCGCCACCACGCCGTTGTACTGCGCCGCCGCCGCTGCGCCGCCGTACCCCGCCCTCTCACACTGTCTCTGCAGCAGCAGGTGCGCTGCGGCGGCAGCAGCGGCAGCGGCGACCCCTGGCGGCCCCTGGTGCTTGTGTTTCGCGCTGCGCGGGCCGGTGCCGGCGTGGTCCGGCGCGCGCCGCAGCTCTGAGATGATCGACGGCCGGTCCTGCGTCGCGCGCGGCCGCTCGGCGTATCCGTCGCCACGCCTCTCCGACTCCGCGCCGCCGTTCACCATGTGCCGGTCTGAGTGCAGCAGCGCGGCGGCGGCTGACGAGGAGGAGGGCGGGTGGTGGGGCCGCGAGAGGATCGACGTCACGTGGTGCGACGAGTCGCGGTGATGCTCGCGTCGATCGTGCGGCTCGCGCTCATCCCGCTCTGGACGTTTCCGACTCAAGTCAAGAGACATCGGCTCTCTCTCCTGTGAAAGACGGTGGGCAGCCATCAGATCCTGCAGGAGCAAGACACGAGATGTAGCTTCGAATAGAAAATACCGTTCCCGCACGGTTAAACTTGTGTACCACTACAGTGTTTTAATAAGTAAAGCTAACACATGTAAACACACCTCATCTCTCTCACAAAAGCAAAAACACTCTTCCTCTTTCTTTCAAACATAGACGCACGCGCGCGCACGCACGCACGCACGCACACACACACACACACACGTATGCACGCACGCACACACGCACACACACACACTCACGCACACACTACTCGCTCCCTCTCCACTCCCTCACCAGCTAAGCGCATCAGCCTACCTGCGACTTTGACATGTGCAGCAGGTGCGCGGCCGACCGATGCTTGACGTCGAGCGACTGCCTGTAGTCGGCAGGCGGCTGCCGATGTCGGCCGTGCTCCCCGGACGACGCCGACGACGACGACTTTGCTGCGAGCGGGTCCTGAGGGATGAAGATGCCCATGCTCTGCACGCGGTTGCGCTCCGTGTAGAACGCGTCCTGCGGCGTGAACCCGCCGCCGCCGCCGCTGCCGTGCTTCGCCGGCGAGTAGCGCGACGCCGACGCGCGGATGTAGTCGCCGCGCTGGTCGCGGATGACGACCGAGCCGCCGCCGCCGCCGCCGCGGTCCTCGGTGCGACGCTCGAGCTCGCGGTCGCGCGCACGCTCGACCTCGGCCTGTCGCTCGCGCTCCAGCTCCCGCTCACGCGCCTCCAGCTCCCGCATCCGCTGCTGCTGCTGCTCCTCCTCCAGCTTCAGCCTGCCGAGCGGGAAACAAACGTGGATGCTAAGCGTGGGTGAAGCCGCCCAGAGCAGTGGTTCTTAACCATTTTTTGAGTCATGGTTCCCTTTGAGAATCAGGTGAAAGGACCCCTCCCCAGAAAAATGTACATAAGCACATAAACACAAAATTCTGGGAAACAAACGTGGAAGTAAAGCGTGGATCAGCCTAGAGCAGGGGTTCATAACCTGCAGTCCATGGACCATTTTTGGGGTATGTGGATGGGTTTCAGGGGTCCGTGGATGGGCTACAGGGGGTCCGTGGATGGGCTTCAAGGGGTCCGTGGATGAGCTTCAGAGGGTCCGTGAACCAGGCACATAAAAATTTTGTGTTTATGTGCTTATGTGCATTTGTCTGCGGAAGGGTCCGTAGCTTTCACCAGATTACCAGAGCCCTGTAGCCCTGGAGACCTTGAGGCTTTCAACCACCGTGCCAGGTCCTGTGTGCTGCAGTGGCTAGGCCGAGTGTAGTGTAGTGACCCCAAAAGAAGAAGACCAGATTCTCAAAGGGTCCATGACTCAAAAAAGGTTAAGAACCACTGGCCTAAAGGCCATGGAGGAGTCCCAGCAACAGGAGTCGGTCTGGAATTTCATAATCAATCATCGGCTGTGTTCAACCGATCAGTGACCGTTTAGAATTGGCTAATCGCATGAAGCATGAATTCTAGATATTAGGTAATACCAAAAATTCTAAGAGTACATCATGCACACTGGCATGTAGAGTACTCACTATCTATATGCTCAACACAAGTCACAATGAAGAGCTGACAAACGCATTTTCTCTTGCTTTTTCACATATTGTGCACGGCACGTTTTTTATTAAGGTTGGATGGGTTTAGTGGGTGGATGGATGGATAGATGGACGAATGGATGGATGGATAGATGGACGAATGAATGGATTGATAAACAGATAGACAGATAGGTAGTTAAGTCAGAGAATTTCTAATGTAAGTTTGGGAGTGCTGTGGCGCTCAAGCGCGATCACGGTCACAAAAAGGCGACGACAGACAAATACCTTTCGCTACTGGACGTGGATGGCAGTCTCGCACCGGGCGAGGTAAGTGACAATGACTGAGAGATCAGCTCTGCGGGGTATCTACCAGACAGCATGGCCTGGTGCAGGGCGGGATGGGGGAGCATTCCTGCAGGGCTCGCCGACAGCGAAAAGAACGGCGACCTCAGCATGTTAGCATATCTCTCCATGTACAGCGGATCGTCAAGCCTGCAAAGAAAAATTGCCATCATTGCAAGAGAAGAACATCAGAAACCATCGCCAGAAGCGAACGATAACGAATTTGTCAAACAAAATAACGTTTGTCGATTATCTACTACTGTTATCAGTCATGCAGAGCATATACGTTCCACGTTTTTACTGCAACTAACAACACTATGTGTTGTCAATATTATTCTCGATTCGCCACACAAATGCCAAAAAACCTGCCAGAAAAGGTCAACTTACAAATGATATCCACCTCATAACAATTAGAACTAGTAACTAAGTCCTGAAGATGTGACTTAGTGTTTGGTAAGTTGAAAGTAGCTGGTGGTTCTCACCTGAACGCAGGATGACCATATGCAGAATGTGGTGGTGGCAGATAGGCAGGGTGGTACGGATACAGGGCAGGGTCGAAGCCCATCTGTGGGGGCAGGGGAGGTCGGATCTCTTCGCCAGGTCTGTAGGGCTGGAAGCCCCTTGCCGACTCCATGCTGCTACGCGAATGTGACGTTCTGAAAAAGAGGTCATAAAAACGTGCTCGTGAACAACTTCAGATGGCTTGTCAAGAACTGCACAGGATCGTAGTGATTTCACACCGCAGTTTCGCGTTTCCCGTTTCTCCTCGATTAGTTTAGGTATAGATACGATAGATACCACGTCTACTTCGTTTGCGAATCACGCGAGGTAAGCCCCTGAATCCTAGAACTGTGTATTGGACACGATCTCTTTAAACATTACGTTAATTATGATATCCTCAGAAACCGTGGATTGACTAACGTCCAACTAATTACCACCTAGAAACTGAACAAGACCTGGTGCAAGGACAGGTGCACAGGGTCAATAGTTAAGCTGGGTTTACACTACCGACTTTATGTTGGCGAATTGGCGAGTTGGACCATTTTCGCAATTCGGCGAGTTGGAGAAAATGGAACATGTTATAATCTCCCAACTGGCAACTGGTTGCTATCAATCGGTTGGTCGTGCAACTTTTACGTTTACACTGCCGATTGTCGGTTGTATAGTTGGAAAGTTGGTCCAATTCGCCAATTCGCCAACACAAAGTCGGTAGTGTTAACCCAGCTTTACTCGTGCATGCCTACCTGAGTCTGTCTGCCTCACCACTAGGGGGCCTCGCATCTTCTCGTCTGTCTCCGTACGCCAGCGAGCGGCTGGAAATGTCGAACTTGTGTTCGGCAGGGTTCGCTGTCATGTTCACTGTCGATCCCAACCTCTCCATACTCTGCAGCAAATGCAATCAACGACAATTTGACATGACCTGGATTATTAATCTCTGTCCTTTATTCATTTAAATCTCTTAGTTCATCCTACTATATGTACATATATGCATTTTGTATGTCTCATGCAGTTCACTGAAGAACATTTTAATAATGAATAGTTTAAGACATGTTTAGACAGTTATATGGTGAAATAACTGGCAGGAAAAAACCGGACTACCGGCTATTAAGGGGGAGTTGTCCGACCCTTTCGGCCCCGCCCTCTTGACTATGGACCCAAGTTAGTTTCAGTTCTAATGACTAATGACCAACATCGGTTAGGAGGGTATTTAAGAAATGATAATAACCACGAACACGTGTACCTTTCTTGATTCCGTGTTGTGAGACTGAGTCGGTGCGATCGTGACGACTGGTGGAGTGTGGATCATGGCCGACTGACTGTTCGACCCTATGAGGGGTGGTGGCACCGCACGCCTGGGTGACACTGATCCCTGGTGCGCAGCCGGGGCAATAGCTCCTTGCTCTAAATCTGTGGAGTCACACAATATGATTGTTACTCCACGTGTTACTACACGTGAAACTCTGTGCAACAAACTGGTTGAGGATGTTTGTGTGTGTGTGTGTGCGCGCCCACACGCTTTTTTGTCTGTGCAAACAAGTTTGTGTTTAGAGGGTGTGAGCAGAAGAGTTTCCATGGGTGACGATGTTTGTGTGCATGCGCGTACGAAGAAGTTTCTGTTAAAGGGTGCGTACGAGGAAACTTCCGTCGGTGAGGGTGTTTGTATGAGTGCTTGTCCTATGGTACGCATGCCTACCTGCTGGATCTATAGCTTGCTTTGCCAGCTTCCTTAGAGCTGCAGCAAAGCTAGAGGTACGTGTTGCGTTGATCGCTGAGTTGTTACTGACAGCCGTCACACAGCTGGGAGAGCCCTGGCTTAGTGGTGGCACTGTCGCTGTTGTACGTGTTGGCCGCTGGGGGGCGCTCATCATCGCTAGCGAAGCTGCCTTGTTATTAGGTGGTCCTCCTGCAAATGAAGACATTGAAAATTAAGCAAGAGGTGCTACAGTCAAACAACAGCAGGAATAAAGCAAGGCAATGTTACGTAAGATCAGGAGTAGATAATATGCCTATTATCTACTCCTGGTAAGATGCATGTATCTATGAAATAGATGCAATCACAATACTGTTAATGTGGACACACAAACATCATGATATATATACACAATCCTTTATCGCAAGACAGTCTACTTAGCTCGTGGTTCAACTATGCTTGCTCTAAATTAATTGTTTGTCATATTTTCCCTACTATGTTACCAATAATAACCATACATAGCCAGAAACAGCTCCTAAACCGAGTCGACTAACAGCACTTATTCCGTTAATAAACAGCCTATTTAAATACGCTGCAAAAAATATATAAAGTTACGCCGACCAATATATCAACTTCACTCAAATACTCCCGAGTCTCCTTATAGTAAGTACTGTGTAGAGTGTGCTGTATCCTTCCTCACACGCAACCATTCACGTGTATTTACACAGACACACCTCACCAACTTCTTATTACAGCACGAATAGATCTAAGACGGTGGTAATAAAAAACCGGCAGATCATGCGCAGCATGCCTAGATCAAGACGCGGTAAGACCTCAAGCAGCTACCATCCTCTTCACTTACTGCAATAACACGTCAACAAAACCCATCCTACGCGTTTCCTACACGTGTAGTTCATAGAACCTAATATCTAGTGTTGACTGTTGGTACTTGGTGGAAACTAGTCGTAATTACTTCACCCAAATGTGGAGAAAACATAGTGGAAATTATTTCCACATGGTGCCTTTCATTCACGCAGCATTTTAAGAAAGAACTGGAATCGTTTTAAGCATACTTACACGAATATACATATATATATATCAGAAGTAGATAATAGGGCAACTGATCAAGAGCTAATAATACGGCTAGGTATAGGTATTATTAGCTCTTGAACTGATGAATACTGATCTAACGCTTGTGGAATGTGCGTTTATGAACAGATTACTCCGTCATTCCACGTGAGTGACATTACTCAGCACCCAGCACCAAGCCCAGCACGCACAACCCGTAAAAACCGACACTCTCTCTTTTGGACCAATCTGCCTGTCAACACAACCATAGCTTCGCTGACGAGTATGTGCACAGACCCTTTAGTTGTTCTGCACAACAAAGACCTCACATGATGTAATAATGGTCACGGAGACTGCGCAGGCACAGAGATGTGACAATGCGAAGGCAGCAGTGCTGGCACAGAGCCGGGAGAGCAGTGATGGCAGAACTCACACATGCTCGCGCGTTCACGCGGGCATCCGTCCACATGTAGGCCCCTCCAGAGTATCCAGTTGTAAAGCCGAGGCAATTAGAGAACATCGAAAACAAACTAACCAGGCATGCCTTTCTGCGATCGTGGGGAAAATTCCTACGAGCCTGCTCCATTCACTTTTTTAGCCAAGTGTCTGTAAGCATATGGCAGCGAATCGAAAGGGCAGAGTGGCTAGCGGGTTGAACTCATCCTGGGGAAGGAGGAGGCGACAGACAGTTGCCAAGAAGCACGTGTTATACGGTTCATTCAACATGGGTACATGGCGGGCAGTCGAGCGGCCAAATTGGTCCAGTTAATGAATCTTAGAAAATGGGTCACTGAAGCGAAAAAGTGAAATGTAAAGCCTATAAAAAGCAGTTGTAGCTTAGGGTTTAAGGCTAGAGTTTAGGACCATTATTGTTCTTGTTAGATTTAGGAGTAGGATTGGAGTTAGAAATTACGGTAATGACACGGCGATTTCAGTCATGACAGTCATATTTTTACTCTACCAGAAGGCCGAATAGAGGCGTTAAGGACGATTTGACACTGCACGCTGAAACGTACGGAATCGGACCTCGGCAGAGAGACACAGAGCCAAACCTCATGACGACGAACTCTCAGCTCGTGCTTTATGCTACATGGTAGGGCTTCACAAACTGTAGTGCAGCACACCACTAGTGAGTGCCACAGCCGCGCGACAGAAGATCAATTCGAACGTACGTAATAACTGCTGCGGAGAGGAGGCTGGCCTGTGCGTGCTGCTTTACCATGCACTGCGCTGCTCATCAATCGGTCTGTTTTGCTTCGCACCAAGAATCGATTAGCAGCCGTAGGCGCGTCACTGTATAGCGTGCACGCACCGCCGAACAAAGATCTCGCAGGAACATCGCCGCGCGAGGAAAAGGTCGACCACAACTAATGAATCGCGCACTGCTGCGCTTTGTTTTTCGCGCCGATTCGTTCTTCTGGTTAATTTAATCGAGTAATCTCTGCGGCAATACGCGACCGGTTTACTCGTACATACACGCGCGCGCGCGCAAGCACGCACGCACTTCACTCGTAGTGGGGGGTTCTCCCATTACGGTTGCATTTCTGCTCGGTATCACATGCCACATCTTCGTGGTGGAGGCTGTCCACACTGCTACGCACGCCGCTGCAATGCACCCGTGTTTATGAGCAAACGCTCGCTCTGCTGCGAGTTAGACACCAACCGTTTGGCAACTGGATATTCGCAGTGGCATGTGTGTGAGTCGCAAAAACGCACACGTTAACACGCGTGAGCACGCGCACGCACGCACGCAGTCCAACACGCATACGCGCATACACACATTGAATGTACGGGTAAATGTACGCGGGCACAGCCCCACAGGATTTCAACAGAAGAGATATAACTATGGGGCTTCTTATTTATTTCATAATTTATTCTATTCATTCTTATTTATTATTCTTAGTTATTTAACTTCAATAAGACATCCTGGCGAAATTAGTTACCGCATAAAGAACTATACTACTACAGTAGAAGATT